CAAAAAAATTAACGGAAGAATTTATAACCAATACAACTTAGATAAATTTAAGATTGGTAGAGCACTAGGCAATTGAAAAAAGTATGGCAAGCGAAAATAGGAAAAATAAATAGGAATACAATGAAAGGAGTGTAAAATAATGTAATACAGAAAATACTACCCACATAACAAAATTGCATCCTTAGAATGTACTGAGAATGTTCTTTTTTTAGAAGGAATGTGCCTAGAATTTTCGCCAAAACCATTGCGAAGGTCCTGAGAATGTTCTGAGAAAAGATTGAAGAAATACTGTTTGCAATACCCAAGAACTTCCTAGGAAATCTATTAGGATATTCCTAGAATATACCTATGAGATTCTCAGTATATCCTGAAAAGAATATTCCTGTTTGATTCTAAAAATATGCTTGAAATGTATATTCTCACATTCAAAGAATGTTTCTATGACTAGAGGTGGGTTGCGATTTCACGAACTGTGACTTTGTCACTGCTACTCGTCTGTCACAGTCACTGCCTGCTCCAGTCCCAGTCAAGTAGCAGTGACATTTTGTCACAGCCTGCTTCAAGCTCCGACCGATGCAGCGCGGACAGAACTCGAGCTGAGTGATGTAAATGAAATAATAATATTATAAATTGCATCGCGATCACGCCAAATAGAAACTGCTACTGCAGAGGGCAGGCTGGAAACTGGAGCATCTCTCTAGGCCGTGACTGCGGACTGCGATTATGCCATTTTACGATGTAGCATTAACATATAATAATAGCAGTACGGCCGCCAACTAAGGTAAAACTGATCCAAAAAATCACTGCTATTTGTCACAGTGACACGACTGGAGCAGTCACGTCTTGTCACAGCTCCATTAAAATCGCAGGTTGGCCCACCTCTATCTATGATATTAGTTATGTTCTCAAAAGAATATTATACCAATATGCTTGAAATATTCTTAGAATATATCTACATATATCATTCTCAATATGCATCCTAGACATAACATTCTTGTTTGATTCTAAGGACATACTTGGAATGTTAATTTTCGCATCCAACCAAATAATGCTCCTTTCAGTGCTTTTTTATTAAAGGCAGTGAAAGAGTTGTTGGAAAATTTCTCTGGAAAACACAAGTGTTTAACCAAAGCTCCGGTTTCGAGCTTATTATGCTCTCGTCGCGGTAAGCACGCCAACTGACAGAAACAGGTTTCAAGGTGATTCAAACGCGAGGCAAGATGTAGATCATTAATAGCGCGTGGCTCCCTCTCTTGGAAGTCCTACAAAGCAAAAGAAAAAGAATATATGTACCTATAATATTTTTAGTCAGTGCTAGATAGAGCATTATTGTTTAATTGTTCAATCAAGATTTTTGAGTAGGTACTTTAGATAATTAGGTGAACAATATGTAAATATTCTTATCATGGGTACCTACCTACATAAACTTCTCAGCACAACTTGGTAGGTATATTCTTGATACTTGATAGAGATATTATCCGAAAGAGCATTTTTTAAGTTACATTATAATAATGTTCGTATGACAATATTCGGATAATGTTATATAAAGTAGGGTTTCAGCACAATCTTTCAGGTAGGTGCATAGAAGCAACATCCCTAGTACATAAATAGAACGTCCAAAAATGTATATTTCAATCGTAACAATCTTAGAATATTTATTAAATATTCCTGAAAGAACATTCCAAAAAGCACTTTGAGAGAATATTCTGAGAATATGAATGTTCTTTCACTGTTATGTGTGTATATACTTAAATAATGGAAAACGTTGACAAACTCCAGGAATTAGGTAGGTAAACGAGATTCGAAAATATTTTTCTCGATTTTGGTGTGAGAATGTCATTATTCTCGCACGCAAAATCGTAGAAGAATGAAGCTCATTCTTCAACGATTTTTAGTGATATTTAGTTTTCAAATTTTCTATTGGCATGCCTTCAAAATTGTCAAATCTTCTAAAATAATGAAATCCACCTGTCAGTTGGTTGGTAATTAAGTGTCACCAACTGACATTTTTTGCAATAAGAAAAATCCCCAACTAAAAGCGACCACAAAAAATTTCAAAAAAAATTATAATTGAAATCCAAAATCGAGAAAATAGTATAAAACTCACGTTGCAGAAGGCTATTTATCATTTACTTGTTGATGTTCAGTTTATTCTTCTACCTTAAGTTTCTTCTAGTTTTATTATTAAACATCTTGAAATATATTTCTGAGTGAGCCATAAAATGTATAAATACATAACCTTGAAATTCTGGTTAAGTTGGTAGAATTGTTTATTGTCGTTTGTGTTGTCAACAAGCTGATCCGGCGTAAAGCGAAGTTTAGCCAACATAAATTGGCAATCAAATTTATCAATTTAAATTGTCAGTGTAAAACTAGCATAATGCCTACCCTGTTTTAGCGAAATTCGTCCACAAAGTAACCATCTTATCTGAAATGATCAAATCCATAACTGTAGCAGCTCTATCTGGAAAAGCAAATAAGTAGATAGCATCTTCGCCATGTGATGCACCTAAAATTATATAAAGCTCAAAGCTTTGGTTCATATTGGAAGTAACATTATTAATTTGCCTTCGTATCCTCTATTTTGGTTTCCCAAAAGTCCTTTATATGCAAATTGATAGTAGTAAATTTCTGTATTCTTACACATCAGGTGAACAGATTCCCTGATTGGTCTAGAAAAAACGTCTCTGCCAAGAAACTACAAAAAAAAACAGCTTCATTAATTTTGTCTAAAATATTTGAAGTCTCTACTGCTCATTATGCCTGTGAGAATAATCGATTTAATCGGTTCAAATCGACATGAACTATTCCTGCATCAGAAAGATAATCACCTCGGGTGATTTGGATCGATATTTTTCGCTTAATGTTATGAAAACAATATTCACACCAAAGTAGCATGCAACGTGCGACTTGCTGCTAGGAAGCACGAAAAGTATCAAAATATATGACGAATGTTGCCACGTCGCATTTTTGCGACGCCACCCCGATGTGAAACCTGCCTTAAATTTCTAAAGGTTCTAGAATAAGTAGCATGCTTCTTGCTTCTGCTTCTTCGTTTCCTTCTATGCCTCGATGACCAGGCAGCCACATCAGCGATACCTGGTTGTGTGTTCCTAGTGATTTTGGGGTCTGTTTACACTCCCAGACTAGTTCTGAGGTGCATTTGAAAGTTCTTAAGGCTTTTAGGGCAGCTTGGCTATCTGATAGTATAAAGATGTATTTTCCTTTGAAGCTTTGGTTGAGACACTCTTGTGCACATATGTCTTGGAGAACTTAAAGTTAGGACCGGAAACGCTCAGTCCAGCTCCTTCAGTTAGTTTGGATCCATCTGTGTACCACAGAGATGCATTGTCTACTTGTGGTAATTCTTTATTTTCCCATGATTGGCGCTCGTTAATTAGGTACCTACCACTGCGAATGGGATCTCTAAGTCCAATCTAACCATCATGTGATCGCTTGATTTGCTGGCATTCTCCAGTTTTATTATTTCAAAGATGCGCCAATGTCCCCTTAGATCACTTATACTAAACTAAGGCCCGGTTTATTCATCTTCAGATAAACTTGCTGGTAACAATCTGCAAGATAATTTTACCGTTCTATAATTTAATTGGTCGGCGGATAACTGGCCGACCAATGGAATTACATAAGTATTGCGTTTTTATCCGTCAGATTGCACACCTGGGGGGGTTTATTTGAAACGTGCAATTCAAATACGTCTGACTAAGTCGCAATTTTTACCGGTGAAATACAAAAAAATGCACAAGTGGCTTATTTGAAACTTTCGTCGACACATTTCGCTAAATTCGTCGACGCAAGATTGCATTTGACATGCGTCACCTCTAGAGCTCGTGCATTTCCAAATTGCACGCAAAAGTTTCTTAAAAATTTCAGTTAAGTGAACAAATAATATTCTTGTCCTCATGGAATTCGAAAATATTGTTAATTTAAATGCTCTAGAAAGGTCCGAATCGTATAACCATAACCGCAAAGGCATCAGAAATCCAAGAATAGATGCATGCATTAACAATACTTAGGTAATGACGGCAAATTTATAAAAAACTTTCGACTTTCAAAATAATGTTTCGAGATTCCTTCCATGAAAAGGAGTTCAAAAATTTTCCCGACAAAAGGGCCGGATATTTGTTCAAAAATTTGACCAAGAGTTCTTTTTATTTTTTGGTAACAAATCCGGAACTTCTCTTATTAACACTTGCCCCCGCACTTTCCATCCTTTTTGCGGTATTGCCTTACACTTATAGGAAGAATGAAGAATAAACTAAGATAAATCAACAAAAAAAAATGAAAAATCTCCAACTAAACACGAAACTTTATGCACGGAAAAAAAGTTGTTGACGGTAAACAATTTCAAATTTGACATTTCAATGCATCGTTCCGTTTGGTCATATGAAATTTTCCAACAATGTCATTGGTTAGAATCTTTTACAGGACACGTTGCCAAGCTGAGCAGTGCAAATTTAAAAATTCACGATTTACAAAATGCACAAGAATTCAAATAAGCCGATCGTGAATTTTTAGAATTCGTCGACGCACATATTTCGAACCACTGAGTCGTATGTGAAAGATTTGCACGGATTTCAAATAAACTCCCCCTGACAGTTTATCGGAAGGTGAATAAACCGGCCATAAGTGAAATTGAAGTAACTCGTCCCTAATGATGATACTTGAGTGCGTAATTCTAGTGTGCCTATAACTTGTCTCTTACAAAACTTATGACGTACGAATTAAAATAGCTGAGGGTTCAAAATAGTTTGGCTTCAATTAAAACCTCTTACCGTCAGAAAATTCGGCAATTGATTAATTATAGGACTATAAGTTCCAATAAATCTTGTCTTTACTTTTGTGCCAATTGATACTCGTTTTGTTATATTTTGAGTTATATTTGAAGGTGCAAACTTAGTAACATCTGATTCAAAGAGTAGCAGTGTACTTGGAGATAAGGCTTAAAAAAATCATGCAATATTGGTTCAAAAAACAGAAGTCTAATACCTACGCAAACTTTGAATCAAAGGCCCGGCTTCGTTAGAGGTGGAGCCTATCATCAAAGGTATGCGTTGAAAATCTCCTTTTAAATACTGCTCATAACTGTTTCCTGAAAAGACTGCTTCCGGATGATGGTGCTCCTGGACAGGGCCAAATGGTAATGGTCTTGTTAGGATATCAGATAGAAAAAACTAAAAGAAATTGGTAGTATAGAGCGAATTACTTTTCAGTATATTGATCGCATACCTTAGTAGTGTAAATAGTTTGTACACTTAATAAGTCTGTTACCTTAACTTGTCTGTAATTTTCAACAAGAACCGAAGAATTTGTGGTTTTTATTTCCAATAATTCGCCAATTTCAAATGCTCTTTTTGGTGCTTCTAGCGTTAATCCCGCAGCGCATAAACTTGAACCACTTTGCATAATTCCTCTATGAAATAAACCTGACGACAAATAAGAACTTAGATAAGCATGCATTTCCATTAGTCTTTGATTCACCTTTAGCCAAACGACTTTGTACAAGATATGCAATGGAAACCCCACCAGCGCTTTGTCCGAAAACAGTAACCCTATTTGGGTCTCCTCCAAAATATTTAATATATTTTTTCACCCACTTTAAGGCTAAAATTTGGTACTTGAGACCATTATTTCCTGGACATACCATATCGCCAGTGCTGAAAACCAATTTATTTATGTCTAAAAATAAACAATGAATTAATTACCTAAGAAATCCTAGAATTCCAATTCTATAATTTAAGGCAACATACACAACATCTTTAGCAAGAAGATAGTCTGGTCTATATGAATTGAAATTGGACGTTCCAGTCTCAAAGCTACCTCCGTAGATTTCAACCATTACCGGAAAATTTCCTTTGTACTAAATAGTGAAATTATTGTTGATTAATAGGGATCAGGATTTCGGTATACGATGACAATATAAAGAAAATAAAACTCTTGAAAATTTCACCGAATACATTTGTTTGAGTGACGCAATAAGGCTGGAAATAAGAAAACACAACATTAGAAATATCCAGAAGAATTAGTCTAACCGGGCGGCATTCGGTAAACTTTGTAGGGTTGAGACGATCTCAAATATTTTAAGGTGTGAGAAATTGCTGCTTCGTATTTCGAAGTTGTTCTTCCCAGGATCGTTAATTCAATGACCGTTTGTCGAGTCTCATCTTCATTCTGTCACTCTGTTCAGGTATCGTATATTCCAGGCAAATTCTGAACTACTCTGAGTCTGGAGATCTAAACACTCTAAGTCTGTCCTGGAGATCAGCCACATAGATTAAAAGTACAGCTCCGTCTTCCAAACATGGAGACTGCTTGTAAAACATGGAGACTGCTTGTAGGTTCGTTTCCCTTTCAGTGTATAGGAGGTGTACATATTCATTTTGCGAGCTTCCACTCGTCAGAAGGAAAAAAAAATCACAAGTTCCATTGGTTTTCATCCATGAATATCGAGAGCTATTGATTGATATTCCGTTTGTGTCTCTCGACAATTCCGCCGGGAGTGTGGATGAAGTGAAGTCGTTCTGCTCTTCCTTATTGCCAGTTGTCCATACTTCGAACTCAAAATTCCAGTGCAAAGTTCCATCGGTACCCTTCATGCCTCGATATGATGTTTTAGAGTAATGCTTCAGCAACTGTTACAATTTCCTTATTAGGCAAAAAAAATACTAACATCTTGAAAAATAGTCTATAGCAACCATGAGATACTTATTTCCCGACTCTGTTGGAAATGGATCTGGGATATCCAGCGCAATTCTCCCCCAGTGGGAGTCAGATAAAAGACGACATCGTGTCTTAGGTTCTTCGTTCGAAATTCAGAGGTCGCATCTCTTGCACCATTCTTCAACATCCCTACGACAGTTAGTAGTGATATCCTACTTAGGCCTGGCTAATATCCTATTGACTCCACAGTGATCACTGCTATGACTACTGTGGAGTTCACGTAGCACTCAGTTTACTATAGTCCGCGGCACAACGGCCTTCAGCTATCTTTTTTTTCTGCCTTTTGCTAAATTTTTGCTAAATTTGCAAGAATTAAGGGTCAGTACATGAACTTTGTGAAAGAAAGTAGTCACTGTTGCCATGACTTCTTCCTTTGCGATGTTAGTTTTGGAAGTCGTAAATTTGAAATTTCTCTAACCAATGAGCGAAATGTGCACCTACTGCAAGTCAAAATTGTCGATTCTATGTAGCATGGAATACGCTAAGATCAAAGCACTGGTCAATTTGATTTTCAGCTCCACAGGAGACTGTTGGGATTCTGGCAACCCATCAAAGTACGTGTTTCTCTCAGACTTCTTAATTTTCCCAAAATCCTCGACTTACCAGCGGTAGTGACTACGGAGTCCTAGGAATCTTCAGTTCCTGTTTGTTCTTCACTTTGGACAAATCTCGTACCGCCTGTAACTTAGCTGGAGCCTTATTCTCTGTTGGTTTTGAAGAAACGATATATCCGAGACACTTTTATCCTGAAATAGAACACACATATTTGGATTCAATGATTCAATGGTAATTTGGCACTTAGAATCCCGACAAAAACTGTTCTTATGTTCGACAGCCGCACTCATCGAAGTTTTCGCCTATCAGCATGCATGACATCATCCAGGTATACCAATCCCGTCTCTCACGTGAATCCTGGCGCAACTAACTCCATCAGTCTTTCAAAAGAGGTATTTATTGGCATAATCCAAACGTTGAAGTCACTTTTAACCAGGGAAAGCTGCCTTTTCTCAATCTTCTTCGAGCCCCGGCAAATATCAACCTTTCAAATCTAGAATTGAAACCTATTGAATGCTGATACCTAGGAAGTTTAGGAGGTTTGATATAGTCAATCCGGGATATTGGGTAGTTATTTTTTTTCGTGGCATCATTCAGCCTTTTATAATCCACATTGAAGCTACTTGTCTTCAATACGACCAGCGATGGCCATGAAGGATAACGTCATAGAAGAATCTAGCACTTCTATGACGTCATTCTTAAGCATTTCTTGAAGCTTGGTGTTTTGCGATAAAGAGAAAGAAAGCCAGTGAGAATAACGGGAATTTTTGTCGAAGTTATACCATAAACCTTACTGATTGAGTAGCTAAAAATAGGAAGAACTTCAACAGAACAAAAAGATAAAATAATCAGAATATATTTGTCTACTAATAATTTTCTCTATCACTAAGAATTAACTTACATCTGGTGTACACACACTCAGGTGAAGACAATCTTCTGAACCTACTACAGTCCCTGAATTTATTTGAGGACACCGATCTCTATCAGCAGTTGCATTGAGAATCCCTATCCATGGGTCATTTTTCTTTGGTGGCTAAAAATTTAAATGCTCTAAATTTCAAAACTTGCAAAAATAGATAATCACTTCATGGATTATTTGGAAGTTATTTTGTTCCACTTACAGCGAATCGCAAATCACCAACTGGTGGTTTAGCAAAAGGAATTCCTCTAAAGGCGTAAAAAGTTGTTTGCATTATAGTTTGCTCCTTGGTACCTTGAATTTGGCCATCTGGAATTGTTATTATTGGATTGTCGTTCTGGAAATAAAAAAAGATGAGAGGTTAGAGCTTATGCTAAGCATTGGTAAATAAATTCGGAAAAATAACAAATAGTTTCAAGGGTTATTTAGAAGTTATTTTGTTTTCCTTACAGCAAGTCGCAAATTTCCAGTTGACGATTTATCCAAAGCAATTTCCCTAAAGCCGTAAAAGGGTGGTTGCATTATAATTTGCTCCTTGATGATACCTGATGTAATTTGGCTATCTAGAACTATTGGACTCTCTTTCTGGAAATAGAAACTTTTAAAGAAGCCTTGATTATTTTAGCAATACTTACCATAAGCCCTACTGGGAACTTTACTAGAAAAATCACTACGAAAATGTTATTGGACTGCATTCTAAAGTAATGTAAATTCTGTTTGGGAATTGAACGGTCCTTTACCTATATCTGTAGATAAACCTACAAAAATATAATCTGTGAAGAAAAACAAAAAAAATATAATTTTTTTTTTGTTATTGTTTGCTTGATTAAAGATCTGTTGAGTTAGTAATACTTATGATTGTTAGAAAAATGTAAATAAAACAACAAACACAAAAATACGATAAAATAAATATTTATAGAGAATTATAATGAAACAAAAGTAAAAATAAAAAACAATCCTATAGGTCGTACAGGTTGGATAAGATTGGACACTTTTATAGAAAACAACTGTTCTCAAATATAGATAAAAGTCAATACGTGTGTAATGGGAAAATATCCAACTTTATAGGTTCTTGACCCTAATGTTAAAGAGTCATCATTTTGTTAGTTGGAAGCAATAACTTATATTATTGCAAAATGCCCAGCATAGCTTTCTTGGCAAATAATGCATTAGATTTAAGGTTCATTGTAACTAGGGTAATTATATTTATGTTGCGGTTTCAATAATAGACTTAACTTTATTATTGTTAAATTATATTGAATAGATTCTACTTTAAACCGTTGACTTGAGCGTATCATTTTCCCAACAATGTTCCGATAATCTAAGCTATTACACGTGGATCATAAGTTCGATTTTCGATCACGATTGCCGAAAACGGGACTACGTGTCGGTGCCAAGGGGTGTTTTTAAATATTTTTGCCCTTGGTGGAAACTTTCTTGAGATACAGTGACCTTTCTCTATATTTCTTGGAATGATGATGGAATTCAATAATTGCCGCTTTATTTTTCCCTGCAAAATGATATTACAACAATAATTATTCCGGATTTTTGAACGTTTTAACATTATATTTTTTAAAAACAGGTATTCCCTATTAAGTTTATTAAGTGTCTACTCTACACCTATAGTATAGTATTTGTAATACCCATTTAGAATAACCCCATCCTTATTTATCAATCACGAATCAGATGAAACAAAAAATTACCAACAAAAACGAACGTCGATTGCTAATGCGTCAACTTCATCTACAAATAGGAAATTCCTAACCTAATTTTATTTGTGTGTCAAGAAGCGACATACGTTTTGTCACTGAAACGACAGGTACTTCTAAATAGGTATTAAAAATACTATACATAATATGTAAAGAGCTTGTTACTTACAATGTTACTTAAAAGAAAAATATCTTTAACTAATATTCATTTAATTCATATTACATATTTGAATTGGGCTTGACTTCATCATCACGTCAACTTTTTGGAACCTTTTACATTAAGAAACTAGGTACCTAAAGTGACGTTTCTTTGCACAGTCGCGAGTTTTTGAAGGACACAAATGCAAAAATTATCTTCAAGGCAAGAGTAATAATAGCATACAATGTTTTCGTTCAAGATAAGGTTTTGAATAGATGATACCGGACATATTGAAGTTATTAAAACAAAAATTAATCTATAATTTATGCTCATGCGTTCACTAAGCCGGCCATGATATGCAAAGTGCTTATTTTTAAATCCGCACTGTGCATATTTTTATTGATAAACCTAGTGACCAAACATGAAACTTTACTTTAAATGGATTAAAATTGAGAATCTATTGGGTACCTGAAACACGTCCTAAAAACTTTCATTTTACGAACTTATATAGGTCATTGAAAATCGACCGATGAAACAAGATCTACAATATCATTATCAAATCTACAAGATAGGCGAGCTTATAAAGAAGCGACATCTTAGGTAAAGCCAGAGTACGGCCCTTTAGACCAGCCAAGAGAAAATAAAACATAGAAGAACAAAAACAAGGAACAAGCTAACAAAATAAAGTACAATTTAGATAGCTTCAACCGTGATGCATAAAAAAAATTATGCAAAAATGGACTTGATGAGAAACATATAAGTACTAAAAAACTTTGATAGGACGGAGCACCAAGAAAAATATCACATTAAAGATTAGTTAAAAAGTACCGCGTCCGCAGAAGTTCAGGAGGAGTACGAGAAGCCATTAGGAAATTAAGTGATAACCAATAAAAAAAACAGATATCATTGTTTTATTGTTTGTTTGTTTTCCGAGAAACCATGATTCAAATCAAGAGGAAATTACGAAATATATTTGACACACTAATACAGTAGTAGATTATACCACGAGTCAATAATGATAGCTATTATTCCCGAGGAATATTTACGAACTGAGCCGCGTTAGCGGCGAGGGAATAACATTCCGAGGAAACAAAAGACATTATTGCAAGTAGTATACTCTACTTTATTTACGACAAATTAATTCATTTGAGATTTTTAATGAACAAATTTCATCCATCTCAATTCTCAATAAAAAAAGCATAAGCACTACACGTTTGACGCACTGACACTTTTGAGGAATCATGATCATTAATCTCTCTACTCGTCATTATTCCCTGGGGGAATAACATATGGCATTATACTGCCAAAATCACAAGTATAATACTTACATTATACATTAGTCGTAAATAATAGTACATTATGCAATGATCATGTTATACGAAACTCGCCTGCGGCTCGTTTCGTATCCTACTACCTGCTCGTGTATTAATGGCCATGTTTTTTTTTAAGATAAAAATCAAAATAACATTATGTTGGCAATACAATGTGAAATTGTCAATGCTTTCAATTTTTTTATATAGCAAAAGCTTGTGTTGCCAACATAAAGTAACTAAATTTTTGACTTGGGGAATTATCTTTAAAAAAAAACAGACTATTTATTTTAAGAATAGTAAACTTCTCAACTGGTGTTGACATCTATTGACAGTTTCGAAAATTAAGATCTAGACGTTATTTGGGCATAAATTTCGCACCCGATATATTAATTTTTTGTTGTCTCTTTTGGTAAATACTAATAGAAACAATCCAAAATTCCAAAACAAGTCTGTTATTTTCATATAAACATTGTTCATGTTCAAAATAACTCGATTCCAGTGGCTGAAAAATCTGTATCATAATGAAAATCTGTATCATAAGTTCATTATGATTTATGAAACAGATTTTAATCGTTTCATAAGCGTATTATGAAACGTCAGTAGAAAAAGTAAATTTTTTATTGTTTTTTACCCAAGTGTCATTAAGAAATTTTAAATCTGGCATTCTTCGCCTATCAGGTTGACCAAATTATCTCTATTTGCATACACGCTTCGAATGTTCCACTGAATTATTTTTAAATTGGATTTAATAACCATTTCAGCGAAAGTCCTTATAAAATCTTAATACAATGGTTAGATTCACCTATAAATAAGTCAAAATGTCATAGAATGACATGTTGCACAAATTTTACCTTTATTTCACCTTAATTCCACGTTTTATGATACCTTTTCGGCTAATTTTTTTCGAATATTAAGTGGGAATATATCGCAAATTACTAAAATAAAGATGAAAAAACTACCTATTTGAAATGATAGAAACAGGGGCTTTCAAAAAATAGATTTATATATAGGTTATTCCATTTGAAAAAATTACTTTTTTCTACAAACGTCACTAAAAGTGTCATTTTTAACGGATGCTGTCAGTGTCTAAAATGCCATTTTATGACACTGGTGTTAAAAGTGATTACTTTTAGCACTAGTGCTAAAAGTAATCACTTTTAGTGCGTTTGTAGAAAGAATAGTGTATGATATTCGTGCTAAAAGTGATTTTATTTTGTTCAAAGGGATGGAACACTCCGCCTTTGGCGTCGTGTCCCAAACTTCCCTTTTCACAAAATAAAATGTCACTTTTAGCACTTATATCATAAATAACTATTTTCGTCACAGCGCATAAACAATCGAATTAAATTTCGAAAAACGTTTTCAAGTTCATAGAAACAAAGTACAACAAATGGGTACCTATCTTAATTTTTTGAAAAAGTCAGTTTTTTAGCGGAAAGGTAGGGGGTGTTCACTAATACTTCAGTTCAGTTTTTATAGCTTATAGTGATATAGGATAGAAAGTGTCTGTCCATAGTAAGAATGGTGCAAATATATAGGATTTGATCTTCGGAATATACGATCCGTCAAAAATTCCATATACTTCTGAACTTCGTCTTATCGGCGCTTATAAAAAAAAAATCCTATCGCCCATCGTCTGTAAAAGTTAAAAACAGTACAATCACATTTTTAATTCTAACAACACATTTCCTATCATGCTAAAAAATTTCGAGAACAAGAAACTAAGAAACCAGTTACACATAAATGAAGCATTTTATTTATTGGGAAAGTTTTATTCTAACAATATTGTGCATGATCTATTTTTGTAACATTTACTTTTTCATCCTGTTCAATACATTTTTATTATTAATTAAAACTCTTTAGCCGAAATAGTACATTATACACCTAGGGACTAAAGTGGTACTTTTAATCCCAAGACAAATGGTAGTTGACAAATGGTAGTTTGTCGAGGGATTAAAAAATACTTTAGTCCTGAGGTGTAGGTATACACTATTTTATGTACTTTGAAGGGATTAAAATTACCCTTTTATTTCCTGTTTCATTTAATCCCCGGGGAATAAAGTAAAAATTTAATTCCTTGGGACATAAAGTGAAATTTAATTCCGGGGATTAGAAGCCCCACTTTACTCCCTTAAAACAGGGATTAAAAAAGTACTGTTAATCCTTAAAGTGCATAAAAGTAGGTAACTATTTTTAAATTTTGCGTTTTTTTTAAATAAGGTGATAAGATTTTGATTTGATAAATAGGTCACTTAAATTAATTAATAATTGTCGCAGTTTGTTTTTGTTTCTATATTCACCATTGTTTATAGCAATAAAGCTTATTTGATTTGATGTACTTTAGCCACTTATACACTTTTGATACACTTTCAACAGCTCTAATAAGTGAAGTAAGGTGGATCTCCATAAAGCAAATAAAGATTTTTGTAAAAGAGCCAATCTTCCTGAAACGGATTCGTCTGCATTCTCAGAGTTGTGTTTATATTGAGATACTGTATAGAGTGATCGGGTGTACTATGTGTATTCGTATTCGGTTTCCAAACCAAATTCCCTAATACTGATTTGGAACATTTAGAGGACCATGCTGGCGTGGGATTTCTGAAAAATAAAGTAAATCGAATGAGTTAGGTAGAATCCCTATGGGTTTATTTATTTTTATCCAAAATATAGCAGTTCTAAATGAATAAGCAGTTGTACAAGATAATGAAACCATCGTACTAGAACAAATAATAAGAAAATAAAACAAATAAATTAAAATATACCTACCTATTGTAAGCAAAGAGGAAGATGATCATGTGTAAAAAAAAGAGAAAATCTACAAAAAAATTATCGGAAGAATTTATTGAACCAATACAACTTAGATGATAAGTTTAGGATTGGTAGAGCACTAGACAATTGAAAAAAGTATGGCAAGCGAAAATAGGAAAAATAAATAGGAAAACAATGAAAGAAGGGTAGAATAATGTAATACAGAAAATACACACATCAAAATGGTCTAGGGAACAAGATAATACTTATACTTATCAGAATTTTTTTGCTGTTTTATTTATAAAATATTTAAACCAAACAAGCTTGCAAAAAAAAGCCGATATGGTAAATTTGATAAGACTTGTTCAATAAATAATACCCACGTTATCTTAAAAGAAAAGTTGCTTTTTCTTAAAATTGAAAGGCAGATATTTCCTGTTCCCTAGACTATTTTGGTGTACTATATATAAATATGTAATGGAAAATGTTGACAAACTCCAGGAATTAGGTAGGTAAACGAGATTCGAAAATATTTCATTTGAAATAAGAGGACTGGGTACCTACTTAAAACGGGTGAAACTACTTTTCGATTTACGACTGAAGTATTTGATCAAAATCAATGAAATTTGGTGGGATGGTAGAGGATAAATTATAGAATGGTGCAAAGTCTTTCATATTCCAATATTTATTTTTTTGAGGAGTGACATAATCTTTTGGATTATTTTATTTGATAAAAAATGACTTTCCACTATTCTATAACTTATCATCTACCATCTCAATAAATTTCATTGATTTTGATAAATTACTTTAGTCGTTAATCGGAAAGTAGTTTAACCCGTTTTAAGTAAGTACCCAGTCCTCTTAAGTTTGAATATAACTTAATCAATGTATTTGTTCTAAAAGCAAAGTCCAATGACGAACTTTCATACTGAAATGATGCAAGACTGTAAGTATATATAGTATTATTTCTAATGCCTTGCCTACCCTGTTTTAGCGAAATTCGTCCACAAAGTAACCATCTTATCTGACATGATCAAATCCATAACTGTAGCAGCACTGTCTGGAAAAGCAAATAAGTAGATAGCATCTTCGCCATGTGATGCACCTAAAATTATATAAAGCTCAAAACTTTGGTTCATATTGGAAAAAATATTATTAATTTACCTTCGTATTCTCTATTTTGGTTTCCCAAAAGTCCTTTATATGAAAATTGATAGTAATAAATTTCTGTATACTTAGACATTAGGCGAACAGTTTCCCTGATTGGTCTAGAAAAAGCGTCTCTGCCGAGAAACTAAAAAAAAAACAGCTTCATTAATTTTGTTTAAAATACGTCAAACCGACATGAACTATTCCTGAATGAGAAAGATAATCACCTCGAATGATTTTTCGCTTAATGTTATGAAAACTGTAAAGCTATTGGAACCATTTTATTATAAGTTTGTAGTACGTTTACGATACATCAATTTGCCGATAGTCACAGCGTGAGAGACATCTCGGGAATTTTTTTGCTCTTGAAGCTTTAATCGATTCTTTTTTTTTCTATTCTATAGCCTGCTATTTTCCACCTTTAGACCGAACACTATTTTGATCCATCTAGTAGGTGGTCTCTCTGCCACTTGATCTGTGCTGAGCATATAGCATTGAGTTCATTCTGTGTTGTGAAGCTCCATTTTAGATCCATGATCCATGTACCTACATACTTCTCTTTTTTTCAAAGTGCATTCAGCATTATCCGCTCCATGGCCCTTTGAGCCTTAGATAGATTGTCGACATCGTTCTTTGTAAATTTCCATGACTTATCGCCATAGCCATATCATTACGATTACGGCTCAGATTGCTAAAACATTCTGCTTTTCAGGTAAAGTATAATCTTTTGATTTTTCAGGATTCACGAAAGCTTGTCAAAAACCTGCCCATGCGAGCTTATTTTTCTTGCAAATTCCTCAGTTTGGTTGCATGCATCAAATTTCAGTGCACAACAAATTTTGTTGCTCTATAGGTAGGTATTCATAGAACCTCTATTCTCCCTCACTTCTGGACCTGTATCCAAAGTTGCTATACTTGTATTCGGAATCATCCTGTTGGTTTTAAGTTGGCTTTAAAGTTGCCAATATAAGTACCTATATTATATGGCGAGGGACATTTAAACTGACTCCCACCCAGGAGTTGGATTTTACACACAATTAGCAGCCTCCACCAGTCCTCAATGTTTTTCCCGAACAAACTGTACCAGTGTTTATATACATTATACTTAATTGACCTATCTTTTTTTACCTTGACTGCGCGCGCAACTCGTGGGCTGCAGGTGAACGTCCAATGGGAAGCGAGTTTGTTACAGGCTTGCGTCATATTCTTATTCAAGGACCAGTTCAGAATTAATCGTTCCTTCTTTCTTCGTAATGTGTAATTCGACAAAGAGTAAACTAATACTTTACGTATTACTTGAACTCTCCGCGGTGTCGTTTAAGGTAATGTCAGATTATTCTTGACATATTCCTTTACAATTTGATTGTGTGATGTTGCCGGATGAAATATTTATCAAAATAAAAGTGCAAACGATGTTAACATACACTTTAAAGCTCTTCTTTTGTCTGATTCAAGGCGTTGTAAAAAACTTGACACTATATCACTTCTTTTATGTTATAATGTTCGATATGTATTGTCTACATTTGTTCTGCAACAATACAATCTGGCTACACTGCAACCCACTAGTTGCGCGGGCATGTCATCTTTTATTACTTTCTAACTTGTATTTATTATAATTAAGCTTTCTTTTTCTATTTATGCGAGACAGGTTAATTATATAAAATTCAACTAACTCATACTTAATAATGACACTTGAGTACGTTATTCTAGCGTGCCTATAACTTGTTTCTTACAAAGCTCATGATGTACGAGTTAAAATAGTTTGACTTCAATTAAAACTTCTTACCGTCACAAAATTCGGCAATTGACTAATTATAGGACTAGTTCCAATAAATCTTGTCTTTACTTTTGTGCCAACTGATACACGTTTTGTAATATTTTGAGTTATGTTTGAAGGTGCAAACTTAGTAACATCTGATTCAAAGAGTGCCAGTGTACTTAGAGATAAGGCTGAAAAAAATCATGCAATATTGGTTCAAAAAAACACAAGTATAATACTTACGCAAACTTTGAATTAAAGGCCCGGCTTCATTAGAGGTAGAGCCTATCATCAAAGGTATGCGTTGAAAATATCCTTTTGAATACTGCTCATAACTGTTTCCTGAAAAGACTGCTTCCGGATGATGGTGCTCCTGGACAGGACCAAATGGTAATGCTCTTGTTAGGAGATCAGATAGAAGAAACTAAAAGGAATTGGTAGTATAGAGCGAATTACTTTTCAGTATATTGATCGCATACCTTAATACTGTAAATATTTTGTACACTTAATAAGTCTGTTATATTAACTTGTCTGTAATTTTCAACAAGAACCGAAGAATTTGTGGTTTTTATTCCCAATAATTGGCCAATTTCAAATGCTCTTTTTGGTGCTTCTAACGTTAATCCCGCAGCGCATAAACTTGAACCACTTTGCATAATTCCTCTATGAAATAAACCTGACGACAAATATGAACTTAGATAAGTTTGCATTTCCATTAATCTTTGATTCACCTTTAGCCATGTGACTTTGTACAAGATATGCAATGGAAATCCCACCAGCGCTTTGTCCGAAAACAGTAACCCTATTTGGGTCTCCTCCAAAATTTTTAATACATTTTTGCACCCACTTTAGGGCTAAAATTTGATCCTTGAGACCATTATTTCCTGGACAAGCCATATCGCCAGTGCTTTAAATGAAAACTGATCTATTTATGTATAAAAGTAAACAATTATTTAATTACCTGAGAAATCCTAGAATTCCAATTCTATAATTTAAGGCAACATACACAACATCTTTAGCAAGAAGATAATCTGGTCTGTATGAATTGAAATTGGACGTTCCTATTTCAAAGCCACCTCCATAGATTTCAACCATTACCGGAAAATTTCCTTTGTACTAAATAGTAAAATTATTGTTGATTATGAATGACAATATGAAGAAAATAAAACTTTTGAAAATTCCACCAAATACATTTGTTTGAGTTACGCAATAAGGATGGGAATAATAAAACCCAGTCAAACATTCGAAATATCCAGAAAAATTAGTCTACCCTGGGCGACATTCGGTAGACTTGGTTACATCGTTAGATCTGACTATCTGAGATCATCCCCCAATTGACCTCGGAACAATAGAATTTAACACTTGCATTCTGTCAGTGACAGAAGCATATGGGATGAAAATAGCAAGTTTTCTGGAGAAGACTGCAAACAGGCTCAGAGTAATGCAAAATTTGAGAAACAGGTTTGAAACAATCTCAAATATCATGAGAGCTGGGAAATTGCTACTTCGTATTTCACGATTTTCACGCGAAGTCGTTCTTCCCAGGATCGTGAATTCAATGACCGTTTGTCGAGTCTCATCTTCATTTCTCAGTGTTCAGATGTCGTATATTCCAAACGTAGCCTGTGTAGAAAGTGAAAGTACAGCTCTGTCTGCCAAACATGGAGTCTATCTGTAGGTTCATTTCCCTTTCAGTGTATAGGCAGTGGATTCATCGAGATCGTGTCTTGCTTGGGTCCTTCGTTCCAGGTACAGAGGTCGCATCTCTTGCACCATTCTTCAACATCCCTATTTATAGGTTATAGTACTGATATCCTAGGTCAGGCTAATATCCTATTGACTCCACAGTGACCACTGCTAAAGTCCGACAAATACCATTTTAAAGTCACGGGATATTGGTGGCAAAAAACGTATGTTCATTGATTATGTCGTTGATATCACCTACAAAAAGCTACTACTGGTGGTTAATTACTATTGTTTTAATACCAATGTTTTAACACACTACGATTGGCAAGTGTGTCTCCCACACGATGGGATGAATTTTCAGTTCCAACAATGGACGCATGTTGGTGCCAACGTTGTCAATCTATGTTCATTGTCGTAGTCGTATTTCGCGTAAAAATTGTTCAACAGAAAAAAATAATATTATTAAAAATGGAAGATGAAGACATAACCATCTACAATGAGAAAAATATAGGTATAGCAAAACAAACAAAAAAAAAAATAATAATCTTTGGTCCTACACTGATTCTATACTAAATGCGACAAACACACATGATCGCTGGTGTAGGCGTGTGACGAATGATTGTTCCAACGTTGGAAGTTCCTTTGATGCTCGTAAATTTTACCGACAAGAGCCCGAACGTGTCATGTGGCCAACGTTGGACACATGCAATTCCCAAGTGCACACCCACACGGTGTGTCAAATGGCGATGTGTCCAACGTTGGAAGGCATTCACCACATCGTGTGGGACCGGCTTTAGTCTGGTCTTAACGCTAGTAGGCATATCAGACCGTTGTGCCGCGGACTATGGTAAGTCATCTCCGAGGTACAATGAATCCCATTGGAATTAGTATCTCTCCACCATTTGACCGAAACTGAAAATTACTTGCTATTCACCTCATTGTCCAATTTTTATCCAGTTGCAAACTATAATCTATTCCTTGTCGGTATTTTATTCTTTCTATTCGGTAATGTACTCGTCAGCATCAGAATTAGTTTCAGTATATTTGCCATTTTTTGTTAAACAAATGCATAATTTTTATCTGTCTCCTTTTTTCCTGCCATTAACTACATTTGCAAGAAATAGACCGCGAGATAGGGCCTGTTTAGTGGAGTCATTTTTTTTTGTCTGGCATTTTGAGGGATGAATGTGGCTAGTTAGCTGATGAGAATATAGGTGGTTTTAGTGCTTGCCACCTGTTCGAAATGTCAACAGAATGTTTCGCCGGAAAACTCGAGTTCGAGCTGGGATTACCGTCTGGCGATTTTTCAGCGATATTTACACAGCAAAACCTTTCATTCTCTCGATTACCAGACAAAAAGTAAACGCGGAAGGTTCTTTTCTTTTCAGTTGAAAGTTGACACTCATCCCCACTTTTTCAGCTATTGAAAAGCATCTAGTATTTTTTATGGGTGAATTATTTATCAATGTCAATCTTTCATTTAGAAGCCAAAAAATTTGAGATCATTAAAAAAAAATTCCTCATGTAAATCAATTTTTTTCTTCTGCAAATTTTCGAATAGGTGGCAAGCACTAAAACCACCTATATTCTCATCAGCTAACTAGCCACATTCATCCCTCAAAATGCCAGACAAAAAAAAATGACTCCACTAAACAGGCCCTATCTCACGGTCTAAAAGGGTCACTACGTGAACTTCGTGATAGAAAGTAGTAAGCCTTGGAATGCATTAATCCTTTGCGATGTTCGATTCGGGAGTCGTAAATTTGAAATGTCTCTAACCAACGCGGGATTTGACTTTCTGGGCTATTAAAATGTAGCACCTACTGCAAGGCAGAATGGTCGGTTCTAAGTAGAACCTTAACAAAAACTGTGGTAATGTTCAATGAACCTGCCAGATGCTCCTCTCGATTGATACAATCATCTTTCTCCGCCTTTCTTAAGGATTTTCTAGAATATGCGTTATTTTCTCATCGCCATTTTGAATTTGGAAAAATCTATCTTCTATTTTACTTTGCGACGCGTTGGTGTCTCACACAAAATGTCCTTGACTCATGGAATACGCTGAGATCAGAGCACTGGTCCATTTGATTTTCAGCTACACTGTTGAGATTCTGCATCAAAGGGCGTGATTCTCTAGTAAGCTAATGCTAAGGCTCCATAATCTTCCCAAAATCCTTGACTTACCAACGGACTGCGGAGTCCTAGGAAGCTTGTGTTTTTCTGGATCGTTCTCTATTAGTTTTGAAAAAACGATATGTCCGAGGCACTGTTATCCTGAAATAGGACACCTATCTTTGGATTCAATGGTAATTGTCAATTGAACACTTAGAATCCCGACACAAACTCTTCTCATGTTCGACAGTAACTCGTCGAAGTTTTCGCCTATCAGCATTACATCATCCAATTATTACAATCCCGTCTCTAACGTGAATCCTGGCGCAACTAACTCCATCAGTCTTTCAAAAGGGGCAGTTCATTCCATAATCCAAACGTTAAAATCATATAGACCGTTTTAACCACTGAAGACTGCTTTTTCTTAGTCTTCCCCCTGCATTTATCCACTTTTCAAATCTAGAACTGAAAACCACTTGGATCCTGATACCTAGAAAGTAGAAAGTTTAGGGTATAGTCAATTCGGGATATTGGGTAGCTATTTTTCTTCGTGGCATTATTCAGCCTTTTATATTCCACATTGGAGCTTATGGAGCACTGGTGTTTGATACGACCAGCCATGGCCATGAAGGATGACGTCATAGAAGCATCTATCATTTCTATGACGTCATCTTTCAGCATTTCTTGAGGGTTGGTGTTTTGTGTAACCTACTAGAGAGAAAGTAAGCCAGCGAAAATACCGGGGATTTTTGTCGAAGTTATGGTGATCTTGAGGATATATAAAAGCGTATAGCGCTGCCGTGCAGTTGAAATGAGAGCCGATTGTTGACAATTAATTCGTGAAGCAGATGTTATTGCAATTTAAAAAAAAAAAATTGATCCCAATGCAGTGCATGCTCACAATAGGGTTATAGACTAGACTGATATATCAAAAAAGCTCTCCGTTTTAGTTCTAGAAGCATTTCATATTACTTTTGGGCAAAAGGTCTCACCCCCAGTTTGACCCAGCTGAATCCGACAATGCCGGTTGCCCAAGCGAAATCCGGACCGGAAGTGCCATATACAAGATGGCAGCTGATATGGAGACGAAACCAAAAATCAGCGCAGTGAAACCCCCCTTCAAGATAGAAACGCGTCCAAAATGTCTAGTATAATGGTTTCTAGCATGAGGAATTCGAAAATACCTGTAAAAAAAAGCGTTGGCTAAATTTATGCCTCTAGCATGCAAGATTAGTACCACTTTGGACTAAATTATAGTTGACTATTTCTTGTATCGGTTTCATAAAAGTTTCCTTTCCAAATTTTCCTTTTTATGTAGTTCGCAACTGCCATATTGCCATTGTTATACATTTTTTTCTACGAGCGTGCGGAAAAGTGTACTTTTCCCCCCTTTATTGGTCATGAAAGTACCACTTTTCCGTACTAGTGCGGAAAAGTAAAATACCTGAAAGTTTTAGGTATACAGGTACTTACAGGTATACTACAGGTACAGGTAAATATGTAGGTGAAAATATTAACTTTCATCTCGTATAGAAAAAATAGTGTTCCTAACTCGTGCGGAAAAGTGGTACTTTCCGCACTAGTTAGGAAATATACTATTTTAATCTTATATTTTTTTTTCTGAGAAGCAATAAAAAACTGCTCATTAGAAAGAAAGTTCTCATCTATTACATGTTTCTGCTTTTTTTTATTTCCACTTTATCTTTAAAGAAAACTCCATAACATACAAGCTGTACTATCAGACAAGACCCCCTTCTCACCAGGAGGGATACAATGCCAAAAACTGCAGCCCCCCATAGACAATACAAAGTCGTCATTCCTGCAAATGACGACTCGCTAGAGCCTGACACAGGTTTCCTCAAGCGGAAGGGGCTCATCACATATGGTTCACAGGCAGGTCTCTGATGGGAGAGGGTGCAGGGGCTGGTGTGTATGGGGAGAGACCTGTGGCAAGAATCTTGCACTGAGTCGACACCCAACGGTATACCAGACTGAGATCTACGACGCCATGCAGGTGTGTGCTCCGGAGAATCTCCAGAGAAGAGAGTTACCTTGAGCATATTTATATATGCAGTGACAGTCACGCAACACTCAGACAAGATCAACTCAAGGCTCACGCTTGACTATATGACAACCCTGGAACTACTCAGTGGGCTCAACAAGATCACCCTTGTTTGCGTCCCGAATCACACGGGCATAAAAAGCAACGAGAAGGCGGACCAGCAGGCGCGTGAATCTAGCAACAACGCATTTATTGGACCAGAGCCTGCACTTGGGGTAGCTTCCTATATATATATGTCGTTTTAGAACGTCTTTCTTCGTTGTCTGACACCTAATTTCCATCTTTCTTCTATTGTCGCAATCCTCTGATGAGAGATTTCTTTCACTCGTGGACTTTTGTATGGTCTTCTGCCATTCCAGTTTTAGTCTTCCTCGTTTTCTTCTACCTGTTGGTTGCCAGTGCAGCATTTTTCTGGGCCACCTGGCATTTGGCATTCGTTCTACGTGTCCGTACCAGGTAAGTTGTTTCCTTTCAATGTCCTGAATTATCGTGCCTTCTATTCCCATTTGTTGTTTTATATTATCGTTCCTTATTCTCTCTCTTCGTGAGATTTGCATGGATCTTCTAATAGCATCCATTTCAACTGCTTCCACTTTTTTCTTTTGTCTGTCTGTAATTCTCCAAGTCTCGGTTCCATATAGAAGGCTGCTCTTTATCATTGTCTCGTATATATTGAATTTTCTCTTCTTTGTTATTTCCTCGCTCCATAATATTCCATTTAGGCATCCTATTACTTTTTTAGCTTTAACTATTCGCTTTTCTATTTCTTTCACATCTGTTCCGGTGTTGTCGAATGTGATACCTAGATACTCATATCCTTGATATTGCAGAATTTCCTGACCATCGTCCACTTCCAAGTTTCCGTTCTGGGTGACTACACATAGATATTTTCTTTTATTTATATTAACTCTTAGGCCCCATTATTGGTACTTTTCTATCAGCTTTCTAATCATACGTGGTCCTCTTTGTCACTTGCCACTATGACCTGATCATCTGCAAACTGAAGAGTAAATGTCACCTATCATTTATCTCTATACTCATTCCAAGGATCTTCCTCTTCCAATTTTTCAGTGCTACTGCTACGTATATTTTAAAAAGCGTAGGAGAGATACAACATCCTTGACGTAGTCCTTTATTCACTCTAAATGTGTCTGTGAGTTTTTCACCTATCTTAATTCTTTATTTTGAGTCTTTATATAGTTCTTTAAGTGCCGTTATATAGGTGTGATGGATTGTTCTTATACCTTCCATAGTCTGGATACTGGGACTGTATCGTATGCTTTATATAGGTCCACAAATGTGAGGTGGGTTTCCAAATGTCTATCAGATCTCTTTTCTATGACTTGTTTTAGGCAAAATACGTTGTCTGTACCTGATCTAAAACCGCACTGCTCTTCTTCTTGCTCTTTATGCTCTTCTTCAATGAGATCACGCAGGATTCTACCGTATGGTCTACTTAGTTTGCTTGTGACTGATATGCCCCGATAGTTATTGCAATACAGCTTATTTCCTTTTTTGTGAATGGATGATATAAAAGCCGTTTTCCAGTCTTGTGGAACAGGATGTCCATTTAGGCATTTATTGATAATACATGTGAGACCTTTGAAGAGCTTCTCAGTTCCCCATTTCAGCATTTCGGAGTATATCCCTTCTGGGCCGCTAGCTTTACCTGACTTAAGATTCTCAACAGTCTTTTTCACTGTTTCTTCAGATATCTCAACTACTTCTCCATGTACTTCAATATGTCTTGGAGAATCTAATATATATTCCGGTCTACTTTCTTGTAATAGACCCTTGTAGTGTTCTATCCATTGCTCTGGTTTAATAATCTGGATATTAGCTCTGTCCTTTCTTGGGTTTTTGACATTTGATATAAATCTTCATACCTCTGAGCATTTCCTTTCTCCTATGTAGGTGTTAAATTCTTCACATTTCTTATCCCACCCTGCTTCCTGCCTGGCTGAAAATCAAGATCCAGAACTGGTCCAACAACCAGTTCCAAGACGACTGGGTAATAGGTACTAGATATTTTGAACGCATTTCTATATAGCACTGATATCGGCTTTTGGCGCCATATTGGCAGCCATCTTGGATATCTCAGTTCCGATCGAGATTTAGCTTGGGCAACCGACATTTTTGGGTTCACCGGTGTCGAAAAAGTCTTTTGCCCAATATACAGGGTGTTCCATAAGTCACGGTTCAAACTGAAATGGTGATAGAGGATGTCATTGCCGACAAAAAAAACCTTATATGTCATTATACAATTATCCATCGTTTTCAAGATAACGAATATGGTTACATTGTTTAAGAAAAAGAAATTTGCAAAAAAAAACAACGAACCCATGATTGATTTTTTTTTCTAATTATGAGCAGGAATGTCTGTCATTAAGTTTTTATGTGTTTGTGAAGTTTTGTCTTTTCACTAAAGAACCTGAAGGGGATTTTTCTCTCTTATTTTTATTTTATTCAATTCACAGCAGAAGTTCAAATGATGATAATTGAGAAAGCAAAGATGAAAAAAGGTGACCCATATTTGTTAAAACTACTCTGAATTATCCTTATTCAATTAGGGCCACACTGGTCTGAAAATCTCTAATACTTTTTTGATACTCTACAAATGTATTCTTTTTCTTAACCAATGTAACCATATTTGTTAAAATCAATAAAATTCGAATATCTATACAATTATTCTTCACGGGTTTGAAGAATAATTGTATAGTAACATCTTAGGTTTTTTTTGTCGGCAATGACCTCCTCTATCACCCCTTTCAGTTTGGACCGTGACTTATGGGACACCCTGTATAATATGAAATGCTTCTGAAATTGCGATTTTCGGAAAATTTGACTAGAATATTGCCATAACGAAAAGATAAAATAATAAGCCTATGCCAGTCCTCTAATAATTTTCCCTATAAGAATTAACTTACATCTGGCGTATACACACTCAGGTGAAGACAATCTTCTGAACCTACTACAGACCCTGCGTTTATTTGAGGACACGAATCTCTATCAGCAGTTGCATTGAGAATCCCTATCCATGGGTCATTTTTCTGTGGTGGCTAAAAATTTAAATTTATAATTCCAAAAACTTGCAACAATAAAAAATTGCTTCATGGATTATTTGGAAGTTATTCTGTCCACTTACAGCAAATCGCAAATCACCAATTGGTGGTTTAGCAAAAGGAATTCCTCTGAAGGCGTAAAAAGTTGTTTGCATTATAGTTTCCTCCTTGGTACCTTGAATTCGACCATCTGGAATTGTAACTATTGGATTTTCGTTCTGAAAATAAAAATTGATGAAGAGCCTCTAATTCAAGTAGCAATTGCTTACCATAAGCTCTAATGCTAGGTTAGGGCTTATGCTAAGCATTGATAAATAAATTCTGAAGTTTTGGAAGAATAACAAATAGCGTTATTTTGTTTTCCTTACAGCAAATAGCAAATTTCTAGTTGGCGATTTATCCAAAGCAATTTCTCTAAAGCCGTAAAAGGATGGTTGCATTATAAGTTGTTCCTCAATACCTGATGTAATTTGACCATCTAGAACTATTGGACTGTCTTTCTGGAAATAAAAACTATTAAAAAAGCCTTGATTATTGTAGTAATGCTTACCATAAGCCCTACTGTGAACTTTGCTAGAAAAATCACTACGAAAATATTATTGGACTGCATTCTAAACTAATGTACCTAATTCTTTCTGGAAATTGAACGGTCCTTTATATCTGTAGATATACCTACAAAAATATAATCTGTGAAGAAAAATAAAAAACATATATATTTTTTGAAACAACTGTTCCCAAATATAGATGAAAGAGAATCTGTGGATCATATGCTCGATTTTCGGGAAAATATGATTGCCGAAAACGACACTACGTGCCGGTGCCAAGATAATCTTTTTTTTTTTAAATATTTTTGACATTGGTGAAAACTTTCTTGAGATTCAGTCACCTGCTTAGTTTTGTCTAGATCTCTTGGGATGATGACCAAAATTGTTTTTTTTTTAGATGAGACACACTATATTTTATTAGGTCAATATTTGCTTATATTTTTTCCTGCAAAATGATATTTAAACAATTAATATTCCGGATTTTCAAAATTTTAATATTACTTATATTTTTTTAAAACAGGTGTCCACTCTGCACTCAATACATATGTAAAGAACTTGTCACTTACAATGTTACTCAAAAGAAGAATCTCTTTACCTGATATTTATTTAATTCATATTATTGAATTGTGTTTGACTTCACTTGAAATTTGTGGAACTTTAACACTCAATTGGGGAGGAAATAGTCATCTATTTACAGAGCAACTATCTAAAGAGACGTTTTTTCGCACTGTCGCAAGTTTTTGGAGGACACAAATGCAAAAATTAACTTCGTGGTAAGAGTATAATAGCATACAATGTTTTCGTTCAACGTAAGGTTTTTGAATAGATAATACCGGGCATATTGAACGCAAAAACATAAAATTATGTTTTTAATCTATAATTTATGCTCATAAGTCCCTGAACTGGCCATGATTTGCAAAGTGCTTATTTTTATTGATAAACATGGTTACCAAACATGAAACTTTACTTTAAATGGATTAAAATTGAAAATTTTAATTTATTGAGTACTTACCTAATGTCCTAAAAACTTTAATTTTACGAACTCAAATAGGTCATTGAAAATCGACCGATGAAACAAGATCTACAATATCATTATCAAATCTACAAGATAGGCGAGCTCATAAAGAAGCGACCTCCTAGGTAAAGCCAGAGTACGGCCCTTAGACCAGGTAAGAGAAAATAAAACAGAAGAACAAAAACAAGGAACAATCTAACAAAATAAAGTACAGTTTAGATAGCTTCAATCGTGATGCATAAAAAAATTATGCAAAAATGGACTTGATGGGAAACGTATAGGTACTAAAAAACTTTGATAGGGAGCACCAAGAAAAATATCACATTAAAGATTGGTGAAACAGTACCGCAGAAGTTCTGGGGGAGTACGAGAAGCCGAGGAGAAAAAAACCATGCGGGAAGAAGAAATCGAGTGATAACCAGTGGCTGAAAAATCTGTATCATAATGAAAATCTGTATCATAATGAAGTTCATTATGAAATAGATTTTAATCGTTTCATATAAGCGTATTATGAAACGTCGGCGTCGGTAGAAAATGGTATATTATGCAATGATCATGTAATCGCATGTTATATACGAAACTCGCCTGCGGCTCGTTTCGTATCCTATAACATGCTCGTGTATTAATGGCTATTACATGAGAGTTGCATACACTATTTTTTCTACTTCCATTTTTAAACGAAATACATATTTATTTTAGGAATAATAAACTTCTTAACTGGTGACAATTGTTGACAGCTATTGACAATTTCGAAAATTAAGATCTAGACGTCATTTGGGCATAAATTCGCACTTGTTAGGAAAATAACTATTTCCTACGGACGTACGGATAACGCGTTTTCGTGCACTGATTTGCGTGCGGAAAGTACCACTTTTCCGCACTGCGTGCGTGAATAAATTTTTACCGCACGGCGTGCGCGAAAAAAGTTTTTCATGCACGCTGTGCCCGAGAAAAGTTGTTAATGCACTGATTCAATTATTATTAGTCCGGGGGCCGAGGACCTTTTTTTCAAATCATTAATAACAAGCTAGTTTTTTCAATGCAGTTTCATTTCACCGAGACGCCCAACTTTTTTCTCAACGAAAATTGCGAAAACAGGTAGCTAACATACTGCGCAGGTGTAAAACATGTCGATTTGGTGACTATAAAAATCAATAACAGTTAGTTTTTTAGCTAAATGTTGAGATAATTTTATGAATAATTTGAAACAACCTTTGTCCGACAAAATAAAGGGTTTGGTCTACGATGTAGGTTGGTAAATATTATTACAATTAAATGGTCACACTGTCCTAAAAATAAACAGGTAGCTATTTTCAGTCCTACACTCAAAAGTTGTCGATATCACGATTTAACTTTTTTCATTAATAACCGGCTAAATCTTCGTGAGCATTTTCATTTTGATAAGACGCCCAAATTTTCTTTTGCCAAAATTCCAAAAACAGGTAGCTAACAGAGTGCGCAGGTGGAAAACATGTCTATTTGGTGATCATACAAATGTAAATAATAACAGTTAATTTTGTAGCGAAATGTTGAGATAGTTTCATAACTAATATGAAACAACATTTGTCCGACAAAATAAATGGTTTGATTTAGGCTGTCTCCCTTCTCAAACATGTAGCAGATACGTTACATAAAAAATGATTTATAACCAGTTGATTTTTTTAATGTAGCTTAGTAAATATTACTACAATTAAATGGTTACACTGTCCTACAAATAAAGAGGTACATTTCTCCAGTCCTACACTCAAAAGTTGTCGACTTCACGGTAATACTTCATTTATCAATCACTGGCTAAATCTTCTCGAGCATCTTCGTATTGATAATACGCCTAACTTTTCTATTGCGAAAAGTTGCAAAAGTAGTAGCTACTAAAGTGAGCGCTAGTGAGCAGATGTAAAATACCTTGATTAGGTGATTATGCAAATGTAATTATTAACAGTTAACAGTTAATTTTTCAGGTGAATAATGAGATAATTTTATAAATAATTCGAAATTCGATTTGAGCCTCAAAATAAATGGTTTGGTCTGCAGTGTCCCCTTTCTCAAAAACGTAGCAATTACTGGCTCATAAAAAACGATTTATAAGCAGTTGATTTTTTTACTGTAGTTTGGTAAATATAACTACAATTACACATTGTCTTAAAGAAGTAAGATTTCTCAGCCCTACATTCGAGAATTTCGAAAATAGCCTTATGCATATCATACGTAAATATGTACAGGGCTTTCATTTCAAAACTTGCCATCCACGTTATCTGCGTAAAGAGACAGATTTCTAGAAAAAAAGATTAAATTCAAGAATTTTACCTTTTGTATTTTAAAAAATATATTTATTAAAATATTTGATTTTTGATATTATTTGAAATGAACATATCTCTTTTATTTTTGAGCTGTCGAGAAAATATTATTTGGAAAACTCCTGTATTTTTTAAGTTCCGCGTCATTTAAAAAGGAAAACCCCAACTTAGAAAACACCCTGTATATAGGGTGATTCAAAAAAGCGCGCCAGATTTAATACATTAAAAAAGGAGCTCAATTTTTTTTAATATCTTTAGAATTAAGATGAACCGGTTGGATCAAACCTTCTCAATTTAGGTATGGAAAATGACAAAGGGCATGGCCCCCTCTACTTTGATGGCATGCCAAAACTCTCTTTCGAGCAATTCAAATCTGGCGCGCTTTTTAAATCACCCTATACTACGATACTGTGTTATTTACGGGCATGCGCGTCAATTCATGTGTGTACACATAACACATATACTGTTATACACGCATCTGTGTACGTACATGTACATACAGGGGCTTTCATTTCGAAATTTGCCACCCACGTTATCTGCCTAAAGAGACAGATTTAGGGAAATCGCCGGAACACGTCAACAAATTAACGTAGGTATCCCCTCAATAAATTTGTTGACGTGTTTCGGCGATTTCTAGAAATCTGTCTCTTTACGCAGATAACGTGAGCGGCAAGTTTTGAAATGAAAGATATTTACGTATAATATGCATAAGGCTATTTTCGAAATTCTCGAATGTAGGGCTGAGGAATCTTACCTCTTTAGGACAATGTGTAATTGTAGTTATATTTAGTAGTGAAAAATCAACTGATTATAAATCGTTTTTTATGAGCCAGTATTTGCTACATTTTTGAGAAAGGGGAACTGCAGACCAAACCATTTATTTTGTGGCTCAAATCGAATTTCGAATTATTTATAAAATTATCTCATTATTCACCTGAAAAATTAACTGTTAACTGTTAATAATTACATTTGCATAATCACCTAATCAAGGTATTTTACATCTGCTCACTAGCGCTCACTCTAGTAGCTACTACTTTTGCAACTTTTCGCAATAGAAAAGTTAGGCGTATTATCAATACGAAGATGCTCGAGAAGATTTAGCCGGTCGGTGACTGATGAATAAAGTATTACCGTGAAGTCGACACCTTTAGAGTGTAGGACTAGAGAAATGTACCTCTTTATTTGTAGGACAGTGTAACCATTTAATTGTAGTAATATTTACTAAGCTACATTAAAAAAATCAACTGGTTATAAAGCATTTTTTATGTAACGTATCTGCTACATGTTTGAGAAGGGGGACAGCCTAGATCAAACCATTTATTTTGTCGGAAAAATGTTATTTCATATTATTTATGAAACTATCTCAACATTTAGCTACAAAATTAACCGTTATTATTTGCACTTGTATGATCACCAAATAGACATGTTTTTAACCTGCGCACTCTGTTAGCTACCTGTTTTTGGAATTTTCGCAAAAGAAAATTTGGGCGTCTTATCAAAATGAAAATGCTCACGAAGATTTAGCCGGTTATTAATGAAAAAAGTTAAATCGTGAAAACGTGGCACCAAAAACATTTCGCGCCCGAGTTGCAAACAATATTTTTTCTACAACTCCATTCAAATATCGATCATTCGAAGCCAAAATTGCATTTCCAATCAAAGGCAGGTGAATTTTAATTATTTTTGGCATCCTGACAGGTATGTGTCACCATGACACCATTGTGCGAACTAGCTATTTCGCACACTAGGGTGCGAAATAGCTAGTTCGCACACTGGTGTCATGGGAACGTTAAAAAATCAATACCTGGGAAAAAAAGTGTCACTTCGCAAACTGTCAGGAGTGTGCAAACATCATCATTTTTTGACAGTTGTAGAAAAATAACTATTTTGACCATTTCTTTTATCAGTAGAGCCAAAAACAAACAAAAAAAACAATGTGTCAATTTCCGCACGCTCGCTCGTAGGAAAAATGTTGTACCTAACACGAGCGTGAAGTATCTTTTCCGCACTTACGGCTTGCACGAACTCCGCTAGCGCGTCGTTCGAGCAAACGCCGTTGCATGCGGAAAAGTAGTACTTTCCGCACTTGTCAGGTAAATAACTATTAATCGTTTCATAAGCGTATTATGAAACGTCAGTAGAAAAAGTAAATTTTTTATTGTTTTTTAACCAAGTTTCATTAAGAAATATTATATCTGCCATTTCTTCGCCTATCAGGTTGACCAAATTATCTCTATTTGCATACACGCTTCGAATGTTCCATTGAATTATTTTCAAATTGGATTTAATAACCATTTCAGTAGAAGTCCTTACAAAATCTCAATACAATAGGTCCCTGAGTTTAGGTCAATACTAATAACGGTCATTCTGAGTTCGTGCTGAGGGTCCCCGTGCTGATGCCTCGATCCAATAAGTCCATATAGTAGCCCGGATCTGAAGAGTTTAGAATTTTTCTACAAATGTTTTTATTGAAGTTTGTAGTGGTCTTTAGCAAACTTA